TGCTTCACCATCAAGTTACCATAGGTTCCTACATTGTTGCATGTTTCTACAAATGTGCATTGTGTTGTTATGGATTACCCTTTCCATCAAACTGTTGGAACTTTGAGGGTTGATATCCCAAGGGCATGGGCATGTTGTCAATATGCTCAGTGTAGGGTTTAGTGTAGACCGTAGGTGATTGTTGAATCCCTCCAAAGTTGTTGCACAGATAAAGATGCAATCGAAACGTGTTGGGTGTCATTGTAGTAACTTGTTCTTGTGAGCCCTCACCTATGAGATAACCCTAGGTGGGTGGGAAGGTGCTTGTCTAGATGCCACTCCTTGAGTGTGTTCTAACTTGTTCATAAGAGAAGCAATTTGGAAATCCTTCTCTTCCACGATCTTTGTTAATTTCACAATAGTTGCAGTCATTTTAGCAAGTTGCTCTTTAATGGTGGCAGCCTCTACTATCATGATAGGCATGGCAGAAGAATACCCCAAGGATTTAGAAAAGATTTGGTTCTGAAACACCCCTTGTGATGTGACAACATTGAAGGTGTTCCGGGCCTTGATCCAGTGCTAGAGTGTTCATCAGAAGATGCATATGTCTCCTTTTATAGTGGAGCACCTATCAAACTAACATGTCTTGGGGATGCACTTTTTTCCCCTATATATGTCATGAGTGTAACCAATGAAATGAATGGCTTTGGTTGAGTAGATTTTCCATGATTCGCTAGAGAAGTACTCCCAAATGGTTGGGCAACTCCAACCTTAACCTTGCCTTGGGTTGTTGGGCCTGTATAGTTAGTGCCTGTAGAGGTGGAGTTAAGACCATTCATAGCATTTTTCTTACCGCCAATAGCTGTAGAAGACCTCTTCGAAGCCATTGATCAATTGATAACTTTGAAATAAGTGCTAACTCGAGATAGATGAGAGGAAAGAGTGTCCCACTAGGCGTGCTAGAAATTTGTTGACACAAATTTTGTGTATAAATCCAAATAGAAGAAAAGTGAAGACAAATTCAAATAAATTGATTTTTTATATATTTAAAATAAATGGGATACAAAATCTTTGGATTTGAATTCTCTTACAAAAGAGATAGACCCTTTGATTCTCTCTTGATGGTGCTTCTTGCAACTTGAGGGTTTGTATTTGAGTTGAAATCGGGGGTCAGATGATGTGTTCCCGTGCTTCAGAAAATGATGGAGATTTCTTCCTTCAATTGGGCTTTGAAAGCTTGATTTTAAGAAGGATTCTATGAGACTGCTTCTTGCAACTTGAGGATCTAGATTTGAGTTGAAGCCGAGGGTCGGATGACGTGCTCCCATACTTCGGAAAATAATGGAGATTTCTTCAATTGGACTTTGAAAGCTTGATCATGAGAAGGATTCTGCAATATTTCAAGAGTGTTGTTGTTTTACTCTCAAGAAGATGGTATATGTGCTTCCTTCTTCCCAAGAGTCTTCTTACTTCACTTAGATTTTCTCCTTGACCAAAAGTCCCCTCCCTCTTGATGGGAACCCCTATTTATAGATTTCCTGGTCTAATATCTTAATCCCCTTAATTAAGGATTTGATTAGCTCTCCTTACTCTTTTTAGAGAGTGAAAGGTTGTAATTACTACCATTCTTAGAGAGAATAATTTATCATCTATTATTCTCTCTTCAATCATTAGATAATTTCCATCTATGGGAAGATATGCCTTCACTGACTAGAGATTTGATTGGATCTAGTTACCTTTCATAAAGAAGAGGTGGCAATTTACTATTTGTGGAGAGAATGATTTTTAATCAATTATTCTCTCTTTAATTATTGACTAGATTTCCATCTTTAGGACTTGAGATGGGTTCTAGTTGGATTATTTTCATAAATCAATAAGATTTGTAATTCAAAATTGAATTTGAATTTGAATTTGATTTCAAAGTGGATCCCACATGGACCCTTCCACCATGCTAATAGATTTGTAATAGGAAAACCCAAATATTAGGCCCATGGACATATTTTAGAGTGTGGGGTATGATCCAAATAGAATGATCCATACTAAGGCCCATGAGCAAATTTGAATTTATGGGGGTAGGGTCTATTTAGGAGCCTATTAAAATTTTAATGTCTACAATATTATCTTTTTTTTCCCTAAAATTTTGCACATAGTTGCAGTTTATGGTACTCCAAGACCGAATTCAAACCTACTTAGGGTGTGTTTTGTAAATAAATGTTTTTGTTTTTAAAAATGCCATGTCAGCAAAAAATTGAAACATGTTATTTAGCCTTTTTTTTCTTATTTTGAGAGGGAAAAATAAGTTAGTTTTATTTAAGAAAACAAAACATATTTTTTGGAACCATAAGTAAAAGCAAATTTTGGAATACAGATATTATATAATTTATAAAACATTATACGAGGAGATGGTTTTGGTTTCTAAAATAAAAAACAACTGCCACATAGCAAAAACTATAAAATGGTGTCTGGAATACAGATAATATATAATCTGTGGAGATTGCAGAAGATCATTGAGGAGTGTCATCATGTTCTATCTCATTTGACTCAAGTATCTCTTTTTGTCATGTTTTTCAGGAAGCAAATCACACAGCGGATTGGTTGGCCTGTAATGCTCATACCGGAGGTCTTGTATGTTTGGATGTTTTGTCTTGGTCTCTTAATTTTATTTGCTTCTGTGATGTTTGGGGACTCCCATCATTTTAATCCCTTCAATTCCGATCTATATATGCCAGTTGCCAAGTCAATGCCAAATAAAATAGGCATTTGTTGCAAAGGAGCCTCACTTAGAGGGTGTTTGGTTCTGTGGGCAGTTTGGTTTATTGGAAAAACACTTGTCTTGGGTTATGGGAAAAACGTCCATTAGGAAAATGTCAAAATGACGTTTCTTGGAATGATAAAACATTTTCACTTTTTGGCTTATGTAGTTCCTTATTGCACTCAACTGTCATAAAGTTGAAAAATGTTTTGTGTCATCTTTCAAAACAAATTTCATGTAAAATATTTCCTCATAAAAAAGCAATGGAACCAAACAGGGCCCAACCATTCACACCGGCAACCCCCCCTAAATTGTCACATGAAAATATGGTTTTTAAACCAAAAATTCATTCAACAACACATTTTTTGTATAATCAAGAACATATTTTATGTAAATACCAAAAAAAGAACATATTTTATGTTTTTTTTTTTGTTTTTCAAACCAGATAGGTTTTTATTTATTTTTTTGAAACCCATAAGCATGTTTTAAAAAGCGACCCGAAAACGAAACCATTTTTGGCCATTAGTTCCCAGGTCTAATGGTCTGATTGTTTGGTCCAAACCCTGATTTGATGGTTTTGAGGTCCAAAACCAGACTCGGTGCCATGACCAGTTCTTAAGTCAACCGGTCCAATCATTTGATCCGATCTGATTTTCAAAACCAAAATCACAAGAACAATAATTCACATTGAAAACACCCTCTTAGGCCCTGTTCGCTTTTTGGTAAATTACTTACCCAAGTAAATAAGGTAATGACCGTTTTAACTATAAAAATCCATTATTAAAAGGGGCATTTTTTGTTCCATTCAAGTGTTGACAACTTTCCCCCAAGTGGGAAAGTTATTTATTCACCCAGGAGATAGGAATCACTTACCTGAGTATGTGGTGCCTAAGAAAATAAATTTTCCCTAGTCCTCACATAAATCTGAAAAAAGAACATGGCTTCTTGGACAATGGGAGCCAAAATCCCATTGACCAACTTTCCCCCTCTCAAAATCCAAAAAAAGAACCCCCCTTAATGTTACTAGTTGGAAACTTGGAGGCCTTCACAATAAGATGCATCAAATGCTTGAAAGTCCTAAACTGCTTTATGCATTGTTCTAATATGCAGTGAACTCTCCCATCGCTGAGCAAGGCTTCATCCAAAGGCTCAGTTTAGGTTGTCTTACTCTTACCCCAGGCCCCCATCAAATCTTTTGTTGGGTTCATTTTCTTTGGCCCTAGCCCAACTTGAGCCCGGATCTGCTGCTTGCACCACTGTGCATCATTGGCTCATTGCATCACTTGCTACACAATCAATCACAAGTGAACGTGTCAATGTGTCATATGAGACCAGATTTGGTCCTCACAGATCGCACCTCACACCAACCTCACAAGCACATCCCACCATGTATCAAGAACATCTCTCGTACTTATGTGTACCAGATCTGATCCTTACAAAGCACACCTCACACCAACCTCACAGGCACATCCCACCATGTATCAGGAACATCTCCCGTACTTGTATTATTATTCATGGGAGATGTTCCCAATACATGGGTTGATGTGCCTGTGAGGTCGGTGTGAGATGCGCTGTGTGAGGAGCAGATCCCAATTCGTTCCCTACATTGATATGTGGGTCCCATGTGTACAGAACATGGAAAGTGATATACAGCCATGCAAGCAGCAGATTCCAAGTGGCCCAACTCATATAATATGCATCTCATACACATGCTACATGAATTTCACGAAAAGAATTGCCATACATATATACATACATACACTTCAAGATATTGTACCTATCTCCTTTTGCTACAGACACCAGTACAAATTGGTATTGAACATGAAATCTCTTGAGATCTCCTAGTCAATCGCTCTTCTTTCTCTTATTTCCATTTTTTTTAGTTCAACTTCTGGTAGTCTTACATCCAAAGTTAAAGTTGAACTTAAATTTTAACTGTCCTATAAACAAAAATTCCTATCGCATTCAACTACTTCAACCCAATGAATAACAAAAAGATATGGGTTTTGGGTTTTACATAGAAGTTTAACCGGCGGGAGTTGTGCAGAGCTTACCATCTAGGTTGTTCACAGATTTAACCAGTTTGTCCGGTCTCAGCTTTTGAAGATGGATGAACAAAAGATTCCCCCCGAGGAAGGAGATATCTCCCCCAGTACCTAGAGCAGTTAGTAGAAATTCCCTATAAAAATAAGCTGAGGCGAAGTTTCTACTCTTAGATATCATTTAAAGTCGTCCTATCAAAGATCCAGTAGCTGCACAACCAAAATACTGACAGCAGAATGCAGTAGCCTTCCAATGTCTATTCTTACTAGAAATGATTAAAACAAGGCTTGGTTGATGATTATTACAAGGAACATTAACAATACAAAACTTGTTTGTGTATTTCATGGAAAAAATCAATAATCATAGCGAAGCTGAACTGCATCTCAAGTCAACTTCTCAAGACTGCAGTAAGGCAGGTTTCTTGTTCCCAAGTGGTATGCTTCCAATTTGCAGTTTGGATGCTCCTCAGTGTTGCTACAGATCACAGAATGACATGATGCTTCTCAGACACACCTTTGCATCTAGGTAAAGACAAACTTTCCACATCTATATACACCATATGCTCAAGTTAATTCTACAAAATGAACATGTTCTTTTATTATGCACACTGAACGGCACACCACAATACTTCACACCATCCACCATAAATAAATGAGAGGATCTACATAAAGGCCTTTGTCTCACTTACTCTGCAATTTGGCCAACTCAATACCAAAGAAATGTTGGTTTCATCATTTTGATGATATCACTTTTTCACTACGACACAGGCTGTTCTTGATTGGTATTTGTTTCTTCAGCTTTGGAAGGAGATGAGCTTACTACCTTACTGTTTGCTTCTTGCACAGATGGTTTATCAGCAGTTGGGTAAGACAATCTTCTTGGCTTTGTAACTCCTCTCCCATTAGACACAATAGGTTTAACTGAAACAGAGATTTTCACTGCAGGTGAATTTGGACTTCTACCAACCTTGCTCACCTGCTTACTCTGAACCTTCTTTGAACTGACGGACTGAGAAGGAACTCTGCTTTCCCATGGACGAGCAGCAATCCACCGATCCATCCAGCTCCAACCCCAGTTAGCATTTGCAAGTCCATAAGGAAACTGTCCTTGGTTCTGATTGGAATTAGCCCTCCACTGTAAAACACAGAGATCACAATTCTTACCTTCCATGTAACCATTAGAATAAAAGATAGAATTATAGAATTTATATGCATAGTCAACATACCTGATGAGAGAAGGCATATGCCATAGCTCGTTCACGTTTAACTGCAGCTTCTTCTCGCTGTTGAATTCTAGCAAGAATTTCCTCCATTGTATCAGAACCACCAGACCATTCCACCTGTTAGGCACAAAACCCATTACTGAAGGTGGAGGAGGCCATATTGTCCAATGCATGGTTCACTATCCACAATTCTAATCAATTGAGGATCTTTCCATGATTCTAGTCACTGACTAACATTTCAGTGAAATATATTCACATGCATCAATTGAGAAAAGGATGAAATAGTAATAAGCTACTATGTTTTGCATTCTCAAACAGATTAAAAGAACACATTTATATCTAGAAAGAAACAAGGCATAAAAGAAATGTATTTCCATAAATATAGATACACACTAGTGCGGGTAGTATTCTATTGACTCCTCAATTATGATCCTGAAAACCAAAAAAAAAAAACTATGATCCTGAAAAGGGCAGTGAGTTTATAATCAAGATGGGTTCATATTGACTGGCATAATAAGGGCATGGAATGAAGTAGCACACTCTTCCAAAGAAAGAGAAATAAAGGTGATGGACTAGAAGCCCCCAGCTAGCAATAAAATCAATCTGAACTTCGATGGGAGCTCTATAGGAAACCCGGGACAGGCAGGGATTGGTAGTGTGTTTAGAGATTCATCAAGAAAAGTGTTGGCAATGTACTCAGGACCTTTAAGGGTAGGAGACTTACTAAAGGCTGAGCTGTTAGCACTGCTACAAGGTCAAAAACTTTCTAAGCAAGCAAACCTTCAAAATTTGGAGGTTGAAGGGGATTCAAAACTGGTTATCTCTTGGACTACCACAGGGTGTAAGGTTCCCTGGATTTATAGACACGCCCAGGGAGAAATAGAAAGCCTGGCAAGGGAACTAAATTCCACTTTCACTTGGATCAGAAGGACTGCAAATGGAATGGCCAACTCATTAGCCAAGCAGGGGGGGCTATAGGCAGAAGTTGCTTTGGGCACTATTGTAATTTTTTTGGGTTTGATTGACAACTTGGGTTTTATTGTAATTTGGTACTTGTTTTCTCACTCGTTAATAAAATTAATCTTTCATTGCTGCTCAAAAAGAAAAAAAATAGGTTCATGCTGACAAGTAACCAGAGTGGGGAAGTAGCTGTGGTATTGACTTAGTTAAGTATATATTCCTTGAAGAAACTACCATTTAGGACTCAGATCTAACCTCCTTTTCTTCTTTTCTGTGCTTTATTCCACAAATCTCCAAGCATACACAAATCGAAGCACCATAAATATAAAAATAAAATGAATTTATTAAATTATCAAGTGATGAACCTCCAAGCAATCACTGACTCAGTCATCAACAAGAGGAGAATAATGCAATCTTTGGTTACAAAAACAAATGAGCAATGGTTGTCCAAAATAATATTGATTTTTTAAACTTTGCTAATTTTTGCATATGGGATCAAGAATCATTCATACCTCTAGCTCATGAAGCTTTTCTTCCAGTTTTAGTTGATTCTCTAGTTTCTTTTGTCTAATGCGGCCTTCTGTTACCATGCAGAGTCTGCGGGCTTTAATCTGGGCCTGTATTCTGCTCCATGAATGAAGATAACTTAAAGTAGTTGAGGCTTGTTTCTTAACATCATGGCCTTGAGTAATGGATTGTAACCTTACAATCCCTTTCAAACGGCGTAGAGCTTTCCTTGCCTGCCACAAGTGGGAACAAGTATTACAAAAGGAAGCACCAGATGTAGTACAAGTGGGAACAAGTTAACTAATACACAAATTGCATATTAAACAGTAAGATGATAATTGATGGATTCAAACTACCATAAAAGACCCTGATCAAGCTCTGTTAGATTAAATTCCATGTTCCAAAGTAGGAGGTGAAATAATATAATATAATATATACTTAACTAGTAATATAGTTGTCTTTTATTCTGTCTTGAATTTATCTAGAACTCAAAACTGCTGATCTTATCTGTGGACCATAGTATCAGCTCCTAAATTATGCACTTCTCTATTAAAAATTTAGGACCCAATTATGAAAATTAGAAGTTCACAATTAATCAGGGATTTGCTTATCATTTTCCGTTTTGCATCATTCACTGAAGTGACATGGGTAAAAGTGTAAACAGATCCAATTTTTTCCTTATATTCTTTTCCTTGTTTCTCATGCAATCCTTTCATTGTGTTGAAGTCAAAAGAAGGAAAAGAGACTCAAAAAAAAAAAAGGAAAGAAAGAAAGGAAGGAAAAAAAAAACTTCCCAAAGAAAATATACTGGCCCATCAAGGAGGTTGACTTGATATTCATTAATAAAACTGTAAGGAGCCAAAAACACAAAAAAGTCAGAAGAGTAGCCCCATAACTTTTATACCCCAAAGATCTATTTTTTTTTTTTGTAAAGCATATCCCAAAGAATTCTTATCCTCTTTACTTTACATATAGACATATATTAAGAAACTCTTTATGATGCTAACTGAAAAGGCTGGAAAAACAAAAGGGACAAATGAGTTAACCATGAAATTAATGTCTAATAGATTGTACTTATGTATACCATATATGCCCGAAATGCAGTTTGAATTCGAGTTGCTGCTATATCCTCAACTGGTGCACTGAGTGCACTGGGATTTCCACTAGAAGCACCATTGGAGAAATTACTTGTCTCTTTACGAGAACGATGCTTCCACTTGAACCCGTTTGATTTTTCAGTAGTTGTTGATTCCTGTCTCATTGGATAAAAGCAGATTAAAGAACAGTCAAATAGCATATGATGTTCCTAGATTATAGGAGATATTACAAAAAAATTCTAGATAAATTGCATAACTATCTAAGTAGAAACAAATGAACTGAACTAGGTAATAGATCACTTTTTTTTTGATAAATGAGTAAAACTAGGTAATAGATCATAGTGTTGTCTTAACAAGGTGAGGGACTATTAGCATTATGCTCTACATATGGTTCACCTGTGACCAAAAGGATTGTATAGGTGGCCACCTCTCAGTAAGTGATAAATAAATTGCATTGTTCATAATTTCTCAATTGTGTAGTGGTTTTTTGTCATGATCATTAAACTATGATACCTGGAGACTTGTAGATACCTATTAACCAGTGTCGGACATGACATGTACCCAATGTGACACAGGGTACTGCATGTACAACTCAGAGTAAAATCTATGGAATTAACGCTTTTAAAACATATAAAATGGTAGGTTTAGAAAATTATGCTATAAAAAATCTAAGTTAGGATCTTAGTTAAATGCACAAGATATAAGTATTGTGAAATGACACTTAGCTTAAAAATAGACAGAAGCATGAATAAGCATATTAATGGGATAGCCATACACATACCCATGTCTGAGATGTTAGGAAATAGAGAGTCATGTTCAAATTTCCCATCTCAAGAATTAAGCAAGACTGAAAAATTGAATGGCACTAATTACCCAATGTGGAAACTGTTCGGGTCATGGCTGAGATGGTCCTAAGAGACACGTGGCCGACCCGTCATCGCCCAGTCAGCCCGGCCACATCGGCATAGCTCGGCCAGCTTCATGGCATACATGGCCTCCGCGACCTAGGCCGGGCTATGCTATTACTGTTAGACAGTTTTGTATGCCCTTAGCTTCAATCAGAATGATGTACTTTATGAGTTTATTGTAAATGAATAAAAGTGCATATTTGATTCATGTTCCC